CCCCAGCTGAAAGGCGATCCCAAAGCTTGACTGACCGGGTGTTAGTGTCTGGTCTTCACTTGCTGGCGCATCCTCTCCCCACAAGAAGATAGGAAGCCAAACGAGTTGAGGACAACCGTACTGGAGGGCTAGTACGGAATAAGGGAACATATTATATTGGGATTCTATGCCCTTATTCCCTACTAAGAACCAGTAAGCAATGGTGGGGCATGGCACCATTCAAGTTGGTTCTCCGACTACCAATTGGCCTGTCATGTTCAGACCCATGCCTCGATTGAAAATGCACTATTGCTATAGGAGCCAAAATGCATACCACTATTATGGTTCTAGGTTCATGGTATAGAGTACCTCAAATAGACCTCAACATTACATTGAAAATTATTTGGGCTTCTACAGTACTCAACTCCTGCCAGCCCGCAGCCCTAAGCTCCAGGTTCATGGCGACGCCAGGTCTTGGTTCGAGGCAGCCTCTTTGAGCGTCATTCCAATGTGGCTAAGAGTTCGGCAGCTGCTTCGCTGATAATTTTTGGCAGGCTATGTTCGGATCTGCAGTAGAGGCAGCTTATGCAAGAGCTTGCTAGGTCCTGGTGGTTTTGCGCTCGTCAATAGCCGGATCAGCTGTTTCGCATGGCTAGGACCAACTATGGGGATCCTGGCCGAGTTTCATGGCAACTGCAGTGGTAAGCGGTCAGTGGGATGCTCTCCCTCCGTTCATGTTCGGCATTTTGGACTGCATGGCCTACGGAGGCTCTCAATGACGAGGACGTCACATCCCAGGCAGCAGCCATGCACGCAGCCCTGCCCTTGGTATGTTTCCGCATAACTTCTATTTGCGGCCCGTCATAGTCAGCTTGTGTGCCTAACAAGGCAGCAATGTGCTCCCTGCTGTTCTTGGAAGTTCTCGTACAATTGCGCAATCCAACATGCAAGTGACGCGGCATCCTAGGCACATGAGGCTGCTGGTAACGCCTCGACTCAACTGACCATGGCGCAGTGCGCTCTTCGGCGCTGGCAGTCAGCCCCTGGCCATGAACCTCTTTCAGGGCAAATTGAGAAAGACTTGGGAGGTCGCGACTGGATGCAAGCAAGCTTTTGCTTCTGGGGACCTTTTGATTGGAGTGATTGCCAGGCCTTCAGGTGAATAATGGGTTGTTCCCCACCCAGCATAGCAAGGTCGCTTGGGATAAAGTTCAGTGGATGCTCAACAGCGTGTTGCGGGCAGCAGAAAGCACCCATGCCCTTTCTGTGCTTAGACGGGTCTAGAAGCGGTCCGGAACGACCATCTATCAGATGTCACTGGTCCCACTACATACTACGTGTTGGGCTGTTTGCCAGGTGCCGAGCTGGTGCTCTTCGGCCGCCCAGCGCAAGGTGCTTCCCTCGTTGTTTTCATCAAGACACTTGAATGGTTGCACCTTTACAGATTCGCGTTATCTAAGTTGATGAGCAGGAGCTGGCTCGGCTGGAGGAAATGCGGCTCCACTGGGGAGGCGCGGAATGAAAGCGGTAAGTTGTGCCATCCTGACCAGAGGAAAAACCGCCGCTGCTCTTTGGCGGCTCTTTTGTTGCGGGTTCCTAGGATTCAGGGTGCGCATCAACTAGAAGAGCCTTCTCTGCATGCGGCCTGTGCTCGTCTGCAAAACGTCGGGCGCTACAAGGCCAAGGTAAGCGGCACGTGCCTACCTCGCGGCCATTGTCAAAGCGAATTTCACAATTGCTTAGAAGTGCTCTGCCAGGCTTGATGAGTCCATGCCTTTCAAGGTTGCTGAAGGACTGTAAGTTCTAGTTCACGATGCAGTGAAGACTCCAGCCCACTTGATGCTGCAGATCCAATAAGGCTCGGCCAGGCAATTGCAACAAGCATGAGTGCAGAAGCATGTTGCAGGCAATGCAACAGCGTGACAAAGTGGAGGCTTAAGCACTCAGCACACATGATAAGCTAACAGAAGTTCTAGCGATGCTTCAGACCAGAAAGTTGAAGCACATCCTGCACTCAGAGGCACGATCCGAACGGAGCTGGAGAGGTGCTTGGCTTTTTCAGATTCTTCGCATGGTTGGGGTTGCTAAATTCTGGTCTCGGTGCGTGGTGATCCACTTTTGAAGAGTGCTCGACACAGTCAGTGGACATTGGACATCAGGCTTCCCCAATCCTTCTCTGCAAGTCTCATGCCATTCGGATACAATCAGAGCCGTTGGCAGTAGCTTCACTATAAGCATAGACATTATGGAAGCCCGAATTCACTTCCCTAAGCCTCGAGAGCCATGCCAAATTCCGAGAATTCCACATTTGGACGGTTAGAGGTCGCATCTGCAATCTAGTTTAACGTTGTTGGCGTGGAGGCTTCTGCTTGGCAAGTTTAAGGATGCTCTCGCTACCACAAGGAACCATCATAAAGACCTATCCCCCTACAGGGTAAGCGTAGGCCTGTGAATTTTGAGACGTAGCCACTTTGGAGCGGCTCAAGTGCCATGATGCCGTATAGACCCGCCCAAGCACAGCGCTGCCATGGCGTGCCACGGCCTCCACACCTCAGGACAAGGGCAGTGGGGTGGGTCAGTTGTGTCTTGTGGGTATCTTTTCCAGTGGGCAATTTCCGTGTGACAGAGCTAGCAAGGCTATGGTGATTCATTGCCATTGCCTTCTTGACTGCAACGTATCATTGCATGCACAATCAATGGCAGTCTGATTTTCATGCTGGACGGGTCTGTCGCACCTCGCCGTCTGCAGGAGGCTTTGCGCTGTGGCTGTCGCAGTTCCGCACTCAGTCGCGGATCGTGCGGCTTTTCTTTGCTTGCGAGTAATTTGATGAAACAGTCGATCATCAGTGTCAGTTTTGCTTGGAGCGGTTCAGACTTCTTGGGATCCTTGCAAAGCAACCTGCCCAAACGTGCTGCAGAATCAACAGGCCAGCATCCCGGGGCATGCAGAGTGCTTCACTATGAATTCTTCGCGAACACCCAGATTGATAACTGCTGTTGTCTTGTTCAGCCTGTGTTGCACGCAACGTTTTTAACCCTTGTAACCTGCAACGCATCTTGTACCTTCAGGCGCTCTTAATCACGTTGGCGCACGTCGACCTCTTTGCGGTGCTGCGCAGCCCGCAGACGTCGCGTGGTGTAGTTGCCAGGCTGGAGACGCGGGGTTCCAGAGGAACGAACGCACTTAGGAGGAGTCTGAATATGGAATAAGACATGCGAGGGACATTGTTGCACAACACCTGCTCAAGCGGTGGCCATCTTTTGCATTTTGGTTTTGTGCAAACTGGGAGCAAGCTAAATCTTGAGATGCCTTGTGTGTCTCCGCAAAGCCGGCCCCTTCAAGATATTGTCGTTATTCTTTCTCGCCCACATAGCTCTGCCAGCGTCGTTTTGCTTTGGGCACTTAAGCGACTGCTCAAACAAAGCCCCAAGATAGAGGAGACGTCCCGAAGTGAGATTTGGGATCGTGCTTCAGTTCTATCCCTGACAACCAGCTCAAAAGGCTTACTATCCAACCTATCCTGTTTTGGGCCTGAAAAGCGGAGCTTTATCACAGGCAGGCTCTGGCCGAGACTCTGCCCATCCCCATAACTGGTGTTGTTCATTTCAAGGCGAGAGACTTGCTATCAACGTTGATAACCATGATAACCTTACCAGAAGAGTAATAGCAACTTTAGAACACACCAAAATGTCGGCCAGGCATGCGGCAGCGCCAACATACAAGAATCCCACCGACTACCGATACGATATGGCTGAAGAGCAGGCATTGTCCAGGGATCCCTGAAACTGTCCAGGTAGGAGGCATGGATGGCAGAGTGTTGGAGCATGTTGCGTATCGTGGCGTAGCCTCCCCCCTGGGCAGAAAAATGCAGGTACAGTGTGAACTATGGGATGTATGTACGTATGTATGCATGTATGCATGTTTGTATGTATGTATTGTTTGTATCTCTAGCACCCTGCCTAGCACCTTAAACCCCAAACCCTGAATCCTAAGCCCTAAACCCTAAACTCCAAACCCTAAACCCTAAACCGCGTGCAGACCTCAGGCTGCTGGAAAAAGGTCCGTTAAACAAAGCCACGTGCAGAGTTGCTAGGATGACACCGAGTCACTGACCCGAGATGTGATGGTCAACGACATTCGGGAGCCGGGTTGGTGGCAGCTTGTGTTTGCGTGTCCGTCCATGCATCTACTGGCGTTTACTAGTATCATCACTACCACTAGTATTAATACTATTACTACTGCAATGGGAACGACAACAAAACGTGGAAGTGTTTAAGCCTTGCTTGGACGGGGTGAGTCTTGTGGATTCTGCAGGGGGCGGGATTTGCAAGACTGGGTGTCACAGTAGAGCGAGTCAGTCTTTCAGGGTTTGACTTCCTGTCAAGTGGTCACCTGTGCTTTCACATTGCTGAGCCACACTGTAGTAGTTTGCAGTTTGTTTTCCATTATCCCTATATAACCCTCATTATCCCTATTCAACCCCCATATAAACCCTATCATATTACGTATAGTAATTTCCATTTTCTTTTCCATTATCCCTATATAAACCCCATTATATTACAGTAGTTTCCATTTTCTTTTCCATTATCCCTAAATAACCCCTATATAAACCCCACCATATTACAGTAGTTTCCATATTCTTTTCCATTATCCACAGGATCTCAATGAGCTCCTGAAGCTGCGTGATCCTATCTGTCCGGATGAAGTGCCTTGGCAGCACTTCAGTCAGTTATATAGCGCTTAGGGTTTGGGGTTATATGGGGTTACATAGGGGTTATATAAGGGTTATGAAAGGGTTGTGTTGGGGTTATCTTGGGAGAATGGAGAAGAACATGGAAACTACTATTTAGGGTACTAGGGTTTGGGGGCTTACTGGTAAGATTCTTGCCTGGCACCTTAAGGCAATCTTTTTCCTATGAGCTGTTGCATACTGATACGCTGCAGTGGCAGCAGTCGTGCGAAATTTTTGGAAGTCAGACGCAGGGGCGTAGAACGCGGCTGCCAGGAGAATGTCCTGCTCATGGCCATTACCCTGGACAATGGCACTCGCATCGAGAGGCCCACGGCCCAGGCCGGTTATCAGCTTGGGCGTACTATTATTACTACTATTGTTGTTGTTACTTTTCATTATTATGATTATTGTCATTATTCTTGTTATTAGTTGTTGTTGTTTTTCACCAATGACCTCGAAATGAAGAAGTGGGCAAAGCATGAGCTGCAGAACTTGTTGCTGAGATTCCTGACCTTCTGCTCAGCAGGATCTGCGCAAGCTGAAGCCCACCAAGCTTCGTCCCGTGGTCTTCCACTGGAGGGATGCAAGCAGCTGGGACGTGGTACGTTGGGCATGTCGGCATTTCTACTTTCAATCTGGACTCTTTAGTCTTCCGGATGATGATGATGCAGCGCCGGCTGAGGTAAGGACCAGACAAATGCGCCCAAAGAGTACGATGAGAATCTTGGCAATAATGAAGGTACACAGAAATGGTTTCCAGGAACGTGGCCCAGTGCAGTAGACTAGCTTAGACCGGGACTTCACGTGGTGCCGTGGTGCTGCCTTGGCAGTAGCTACCTTGAGTCATTGTAGAATTGCGGTAGCATGCTTAGCGTCATGCAGCTGCATGCCGTTGAGCAGGCACGGAAATTGGCGAAATCAAACAGGCCAAGAGTTTGTCTTGTGCTCACAGCACGCTATCTGGTGGGAGAGTCAGGCATTCACGGTTCCATATCCTGGTTACCGTCTGTCCCAAATTAGGAAGCCCTACCGTAGCCCCTGGCGAACCTCAAAGGTTTCTTTTTTTGAGGAGCACATTTCTACCAGCAAGCGGTTCCAATGCCCACTATCCCAGGATCATCCAGAGGCTCCTGACTGCTGGGCCGCAGGATTTTGAGGAGCTGGTACGTGCCAACTGGCAGCTCGGCAGCGCGGGCCGTCCAGAAGGGTTCTTAGTGATCAGGAAGGGGTGCAGGGTATATGGGACAGACTTTCAAGATTATCGGCGGCCTGGATAGAAGGATCCTCCTTATCAGATGGCCATCAAGCGTCGGCAGCTTTTGGGCTTTTCTTTTCTCCAACATGGCCGCTCGCGTGGCTAGCACAGACGGTGTGGGACGCCAAGACCTGTGTATGCCCAGGCCCTCAGCACGGAATCTGAAGGTTTTCAATTCAGCTTGCCATCACAGCCGACCCAGCTGAACTGGAAGTGAAACCGCAACACAAGCCGGTTCGCACTCAAAACATTAACAGGTTGGTTTAAGCGGTAGAGCCAAGCTCAGCTGCATGGTGAACTGGACCTCCTGAGGAAGATGTTCGATCGAGGCTTCTACTTCCGGCTGTACAACCTCCGGGCGCCTTTGCAGGGAGCAGAAGCATGCCAGCTTCACATCCCAGATCAAGGGCCGTTTTGGTGTGCTCAACAATCGGGGTAGTGGGAGCCCTGATAGACTAGACTTTGTAGGGGTTGGTAGGGAACAAGGCAATGTAATCCCTAAATCTGGCTTCCCTCAGTCCCTACTAACAGCCCGGTAAGTAGATGAAGTTGAAGTGCATAGATCTACGCTCTGCGCCTCGACATCCATGGCTCCCTTGCAAATGCTGCAGCAGCTTCAGTGGTGGGCAGGAAGACTGCGAAGATCCAGCGCTGAAGGAGAAGATGATGAACCTGGAGAAGTACACTCTAGATCCTTGGACCTCACATGGGTAGTTCCCCAAATTATGGGCCCCCTTTGGTTATAGAGTAGATTATACAAATGGGGACCCTAATTTTGGGTGTTTCACAGTGCGGGTAGACTTGCATTCTGCAGCCCCAGGGGCTCCCTGGAAGCGACATGCACCATCAGCGAAACTGTAGACTAGTATCCCCCTCAAAAAACTTCTAAACTCCCAGTATCCCCCTGAGTAACCCCTATGATACTCCCCTACATAATCCCCTATATAACCCCCTTAAGCCCTAAACCCTAAACCCTAAACCCTGCATAACTTTATAATCCCCTATATAACCCTCTTTAAGGAGTTTAAAGCATAGCTCACATGAAGCCTGAGGAGTTGATCCAAAAGGCACAGGAGCAGACCCGAGCTTTGGCCAGCATTTTGCAGAGAAAGCCGACCTTAACTTACTGGTTTAGGGTTTAGGGTTTAGGGTTTAGGGTTGTTCATTGAAATATGGGGGTTTCCCAAAATTAGGGGTACCATTTTGGGGGTCCCCATAATAAGGACTGTAGTATTTTGGGGTCCATATTAGGGTCCCCCTATTGAGGGAAATTACCATATCGGAATATAGGAATCCTACAGTTTACATAGGGATACTGGAAAAGAAATCGGAAGCTTCTACATTATAAAAGGAAAGGGTATATATGTTCCCGGTCCTGAAGATCCGCAACCCCCCCCCTCCTCGGTTGGTATGGTCCCCTCCCCTTTCCACAAAAAATCCAATAGTCACGGGGATGGGGTTGTTTGAGATCGCGATCCTCGTAACTGTCGTCTTTTTTTTGACGCTTCAAAGCTGCCATCCTTGTAACTGTGGTCACTTTTGGCTCCTCGTGCTTTCTTCGCATCTCAAAAGTCCCAACAGTTACAGGGATGGGGGCCCCCTGGTGTCACGATCCTTGTAACTGTTATCACTTTTGGACCTCCGTGCGGTCTTGGCGTCTGTAAAGCGCCAACAGTCACAGGGAAGGGGCCTCCCGGGGTCGCGATCCTTTTAACTGTGATCACTGTTAGACCTTCGTGCTGTTTATACCTGGGGCTATAGCTCTACTTAGGGTCTATCGTAAGCTGGCACTACATCCCAGGAACCTCCAAATATACTTGTGTCCAAAATCATCAGAAGGATTAAGGTAACTTCATTCGAAATAATATGGGACATGAAGCAGGATCACCTACAAATACCCACGCATTAATATACCACCAGAACCACATGGACAGGACCACCAGAACCACGGGACCACCAGGGGCAGGGGGGTGAGGATCACCAGCACAGCATAGGTACCACTGCAGGGGGGGAGAACCACAAGCACAACAAGACCACAACGACCACAGGGTGCACAGGGGGGAGGGGGACCATACCTTTGGGGGGGGTGGGAGGGGTAGCTACCCTGGATTCTGTATAGGGCTTTCAGTAGGGGGATACGAGAATAAATCATATAGGGGTTATATCAGGATTCTATTCCCATATTCCCTACTAAGAACAAAAGAGCCATCAAATTAGGCAATAAGGCATCTTGCTACTAAGTCTACGTGTCTATGATTTCCTACGGTATCCGTACAAGTGAAGGACATACGGCAATAGCTGTCGCTACTGGATTGTCGGTGAAGATGTCGTTTTGTCGGGTTGATCAGCAAGGTAAGAAGCTCCCAGAGCAGGAGGCAGATGCCCAGGCCATCCTAAGCACGATGCTAGAGGACCGGTTCGCAGGGGCAGCAAAATCGATGAAAATTGTCTTAAGCCCGCGGACCCGATTGACATGTATTGCAAGTGACAGCAGTAGTAGGTAGTAACAGCGATGTGCGTTTTGAACGTGCTGTGCGACGCGAATGTTGAAGTGACATGAGCTATACTCTAAATTCTTTAAAGGGGGCTACATAGGGGACCATCTGAGGGAAGATCATGGGGATTCTTAAAGTGGATGCTAGGAGTTTAGACTATAGCTCACATGTCCTGCGTGTTCTGTGCCTCAGAACTTGCAAAGTTGCCAGGAGGATGGACAGAAGCTCTGCTGGAATGGTTGGGAGCTGTGCAACAACAACCACTTACTGGCTCGTAGTAGGGAAGAAGGGAATGTATATTATGGGATTATATATTATGGAAGTAATATTCCCTTATTCCCTACTGAGAACCAGTAAGACCAGGGGTAGCCAGTATGTCGTATCATAACTACGTAACGCCTGAAAGGTCATCCTGAGAGGCGCAGGGCCCCTTTCTTCAGCACTGTCACACCATGGGGAAAGGGTTTAGGGTTTAGGGTTTAGGGTTCAGGGTTTAGGGTTTAGGGTTTAGGGTTTAGGTTCGAGGCGGATGCGTGCAATTCCATGATTGTAAATCAGTTCCGCGTTCAGGATCCACTCATCGCTGGCTTTAGCTGGAAGCATGACATGAGAGGGGATAGGACCGGATAGGGATCAACAAATCAAATGAGGATCAAAAACAAGCCCAGGGAATAAAGCTCCCGCGTTGAGCTTTTTCTTAATTTTTCATTGATCCTTTCTCTTCTGTTTTGATGCCCATTGGGAAATCGTGCTCTCGCGTGGAGTGTCCTCAAATTAACCCTAAACCCTAAACCCTTAACCCTAAACCCTTAACCCTAAACCCTTAACCGCTCAAATGCCTCAAATCCAGCTGCGGCTTGGAGCCTCCTCACATTCTGGTTTGGAATTGGGCTCTCGGGTGAAGGGTCGTTGAATTCCAGTGCCAAATCCATTTCCGGCTGGAGCGTCCTCACCTTTTCGTTCGAACCCCACCACAGGAAGGAAGGAAGCCCCCCCCAAAAAGCATACTGCTATTGCTTTACAAGGCACATTCGGGCAAGCAGCTGTTATCATGTTCACTTTTTTCTACATGATTTTTTGATCTGTTCATCATTTTCATGATTTCTCATCAGTTTCATCAAGCTTCATTATTTTCATGATATTTCCTGAGTTTTCTTCTTTTCCTGACTTTTTTCATCATCCGCACTGTTATTCATTATTTTCATTGGTTGTATTGTTTTTGTCATGATGATCATTCTTTTCTGCTATTCTTTTCATATTCTTTCACATTCATCATTTTCAGCACATTTCATCATTTTCATAATTTTCATTTTTGGTTCATCATTTCTGAATATTCTTCATCTTTCATACTTTCTCCTAGTTTTTCATTGTTTGCACGATTTTGCACCATGTTCATTAGTTTCATGGCTTCAGAATTTTCATAATTTAATAAGTTGTTCATCATTGTTGAGTTTTTTGACCCTTGTTTGACTTTTGCTGCTCCGGATCGTGCCATTTACAATATATTTACAGTATACAGGCACGGAAATCTTCAATTTCATGTTTCATCCTTAAGTTTTTGTTTTTTGATCCGAAATTTATTCTTGATCCTTAATTAATTCTTTTGATCCCCACCCACACTTGAGGACATTGCTCTGGCCGCCTCCTCCAGAGGCCTATGCTCGTTTGGCTGAGGCAGTCCGGCTGAACTTGAAAGAGATGATGTGGATCACGGCTGGTTTTGAAGCACATTGTAAACTATTGCAGGCAAAGCCAAAGCTGGTACCGCTTATGTGAGTAGTATTTTATTTGGGGATACTATGGTACCCTATATAGAGTAAGATTATATCCTCCTCTTGGGTATAGTATTTTATGTAAGGAATATTGTCCTAGGTTCAACCACCAAACAACACTACTCATGTGAGTTTTCGAGCACAGAGGGCCAGTTGCACTTTGCTTGTCTGAATGCAGGAGATCAGCAAGCGTGCCACCAGATCCAAGTACGAGGAGAGATATGGGTAGGGACACGGGATAGTGTGGTGGGGCTTTGGCACTTTGAAGCATCCCTTGGATTTCGCTATTATCACTATAGCAGTACATAGGCAATTTTCGGGAAAGCCAGAGGCAGCTGTGAAGTAGAATCAAGTAAGACCTCCATCTGGCATTGTTACAAGAGTGGTCAGGTTGAAGCCACGGAGGGCACCACCTTCACGGTAAGAGCAGATAAAGCAAAAATCCGAAAGCACTATCTCACGATCTGGGCTGGGACGAGTCTCGCCGACAGTCCGGAAGGAACGTTTAGCAAGCCAAGTTGTTTCGCGGGGGCAGGATCCAGAGTCGTAGGGAGCAGCAGCAATGCAAGGACGGCTGGTTTGAGTCCCTCACGGAGGTGTGCGAGCGCTTCGGGACCAAGATGCAGGCAGTCCATCGGGACATGTAAGTCGCTTCACTAGTTTCGGGGCAGGGGAGTCATTGTGGCCTAGCGGTTGACACTCTGGGGACTCTTTATGTCGACTATAGTCTAAATTCTTAAAATGGTTATATAGGGGATTATATAGGGGAGGATTATAGGGATAATTCAGGGGGATATTAGGAGTGTAGACTATAGCGCATGTAGACTGTACTATACTTCCGGCTCATGCATGCAGGCCAAGACCGAAACGCAGATGGCTCTCATGGCGCAAATCGTCATGCAGCGACTGGTTACCGAGTGGCTTCGACATGACAGCATTTGGGAGGCGCTCAGTCAAAACGCTTTAAAGGGGGTTATATAGGGGAGTGTTATAGGGGCTATTAAGGGGGATGCTAGGAGTTTAGACGGTGGTTCAACTGGTTTAAGCGACGTCGTTCATGGCAATGATTGCTGTTGGTGCCTCTAACTTTTAGATCCTGAGTATCAAGACGACTCTTAGTTTTGTGAGATGCGTTCTGAAGCCAGGAAACTGCCGAGGGAAGATTCCTCTTCCGGCTGATGAGCATCACGCACGAGCAGTGGGATGCCCAGCAGCTTGGATGCCCTAGCCAGTGAAAAGGGCAAGGAAGCTCTGGGCGCAAAAGTTCCAGAGCACAAAGAACGGACATGTCACAGACTTCACTACAGGCGACAAGTCTGAGTCTGGGCCGGGATGCTAAACGACGGAGCCAAGGCTCATGTACGAAAAGGATCCTGTGGACCCACTGAAGATGCGAGAGGAGATCAAGAATCTCGGATGGCAGTCCTGCGTCTTCTGGAACTGGTATGAAGCGCCCTGTTGGGCTGTTTTGAGCGCATGTCAGATCTAAGAAGGACTTGAGCGCTAGATAGAATGGCGGCAGCAGTCTTGCACTTGGAGGGCGCGTAAGCTCAGAACTTCACAAACTGTAGAGGACCACCTCTGGGGAGTTCCCAAAATTAGAGCATCTTGACACCCCTAAATAGTAGGTGCGGTAATTAAATCTATAACCACAAAGGGCCCATAGTTTGGGTCATTCCCTCTTACAGTAACTGTTACCACTATGGGTTCTAGGAGTTATAAGAAACCCCTTAATAAGGCCCCTTTAAGGACAGTTACTGGGAGGGGGAATGACCTAACCCATAGCCCTAAACCCTAAACCCTAAACCCTAAATCCCATTCAGTTCTGTCTGGTCTCAGGATCATCAGCGAGACCAAGGTGCGATCCAAGCATGATGGGGCCATCATGGTGCAAGTTTCAAGCAGTAGCAGTAACAGTTATGGCCAATGGGCTGTTAAAACCTTAGCCCTAAACCCTATAGTCCCCCTTAAGTAGATAGAATGTGGCTCTGGGTATGTTATAAGGAGGTCCCCATATACCCCATATTCTATCTACTTCAGGGGGGACAATAAACCTTTGCAGGTGATTCGCTTGCCCATGGGCTCCAAGCTGCAAATCTATGCAGCCAAGTCGGGAGCCGAGGATGCCATGGTCAAGAATTGGGGATCCACGTATCGGGTTTAGGGTTTAGGGTCCGGGTTGGAAATGGTTTAGGGTTGTATACTTGGGGACTTGGGGGGCGTATGGTAGGGAGAGGAAACCAGAGGTAATTGAAAATGCCATGTTCCCTTCTGCCATCCAAGCGCAGCTCATGTCGCAGCATGAAGCAAGCGGGCGGACGGCTTGTGAACCTGACAGTGAAGCCATTCAGCAAGACGGCAATCAGCTTCATCTGAGCGTCATGATCATCCATATTGTTATTCTTGCCGTTGTTATGCTTAAAATTACGAAGAACCTATCCCTTCAATTAGATTGGCACGCCAAGCTGGCGGCACCTGTATCTCTGAAGACGCAGCTCAACAATTGATTGCGTAAATATGCTGCATATATCCGTGAGCCTTGTGTGGAGATCCCAGATGTCGCAGCCACTGAGGTACCTACAAGGGCTCATCGAGTGGATCGAGAAAAAGGTTGCCAAGACAGGAGAAGGAGGAGGAGTAGTCGACGTTGCTTAAGGTGCGGTTACTCAGACACGTTCTTGCTCTGTTGACAGCTCAAGGGTTGAACAGTGATTCGCAGTGCCCAGTTCATCCCGACCTTTCGAAGTCTGCGCATGGCAAGTGGGTCAGGGTTCTTGATTGCAGCTTGCGCAGGCAAACTGATCGCAACTTTCAAGCTTAGCTTGCCGACTCGCAGTCGTGCTGCCTGCAATAGTAGAAGCCTGACTAGGTTCCGAAATAACGGTTGAGATGACGCACGACTACCTTTTTTCTCTTGCTGGCTGTCTGCTTGGAGTCCGGACTGTAGTTGTGCATCGTACGCGGGACATGCTTTCAAAGGGGTCTGAGAGAAAGAAGAACCTCCAAGCAGACGGCTAACACCCATTCAAAGCACAGAGGCGTCTCCCTGGTACTCAACAAGGCATGGAGGAACGCACCCTTCAGGATTGGACGCAGAATCCACCTGTCCGTGTTTTGCTGAGTACTTGTTCTCCGCCATGTTTCACCACCGAGAGATAGGACGTGGCTTCCTTCGGCGGGGGAGCAATCTAGAGCACCAATTCTTGGATTTTTCTAGGCATTGTTTGGGACCATGGTCGGCGCTATGCCTGATGTCGAAGAAGCCTGGCTCCAGAGCGTCTCTTGTTCTTTAAGTGCACATACCCACAAATGGCGGAACAAAGCGGAGGCGGCTCTATTCCTCCAAACTCCCGTCCGGAACGAGGAAACGCGGACGGCATGACAGCCCATGGCGCACGCATCTTTCCTCAGCTGAGCAGGCCCTCATTCCAGATGGTTCTTTAGCTCGTCCTGCGAATGATGCCATCAAACCACATACTGGGCGATGATGGCCCAATTTTGCGCAAGCGGCGACAAAACAGCATAGACTTGCAAGGGTTGCTTCCTGGCTTGTAGTAGACTATAAGTGAAGCATTTAATCCTCTCCGACTAATAGTAACCCCCCCCCCAGTACTGAATACTCCCCAGTGTGGCTTATTAGAATAAATGGGGAGTATTCAATATTAGGATATTAGGAGGGGTGGTGGGGGGTTGAATGTTAGCCCTAAACCCCTAAACCCTAAACTGTATATTATACAATATCAGGGGGAGAGGATCACTGACTGCCTCCGCCAGAGATCCATTTCGCTCCATCAGGTCCTCAGGACCCTGGCGCTTGATTGGCAAAAGTGAAAGTCATATTTAGGGTACCTTGGGGGTAATGTAGCGGTTATATAGGGGTTACATAGGGATAATGGAAAAGAACATGGAAGCTACTATTTAGGGTTTTAAGGTTTGAGGGTTTTGGCCACATGATATTGCACTAGTTGGCCTGCCTGCCTGAGATCAGTGAGTAATACAAGAATTAAAAACATCCAATCTAGCCATAGGTCTTTACAGGGACTATATATTGGGCTTTTATAGGGGTTATATGGGGATGATGGAAAATAAAATGGAAACTACTAAAGTATATGATTCCTGACTGAACTTCTGACCTCTAGGTGCGGGCCACTGCTGCCGAATCTGGAGGATCTCATCGCGGCCTGCGAGCCCCAGCTTCGGCCTTTTCGGCTGCAAATTTGAGCTTGGCTCAGAAAGGGGGTTTAGGGTTTAGGGATATAGGGGGTGAGATCCTTTAGAACTTGTTGGGCGCCGGGTTTTTGGGGTCAATTTAAGATGAAAGGGGTGGTACCGGATGCCAGGATGAAGTTTGGAGAAAAGCCACCGGTCAACTTCCACAGAAGCACGGGTATCGTAGGTTTTTGGGCCGTCCGGCACCGGAGTGACTAACGCGTCAGAAAACCAGATGGTTAAACAGGGAGCAAGAGGAGCTGCACATGGGGCACGCGCCCCCGGGGCAAGCAGCGGGGCATTGAGGGGATAGCCGCTGGTCATATTGGGAAATTCAGCATGCACCCGTTAGTGCGCCATTGGTTGAGGCGCTGGCCGTATCTTTCTTCGGAGGACCACGGCGGAAGCATTCCAAGCTATTTTGGTTTCCATAGGGCAGTTTCAAGGTGAGTCTTCGTCACTTGGTTGTTTCAGGGGTTGCATGTGTATGTGTGGGGGCTCACCTGTAGATCCAGTCATGAGCCCTGGCAGGAAAAGAGCTCGGATCCGTTTGCCAACTGTACCCTGGCTGAAGTTTTAAAGCTTGATGGCTGCGAGGTTCGTGACTACAGCCGAGGCCCAGTAGAGCTCAATCTGGGCCTGAAGCCATCAGTATGACGGCTAAAATTGTACGATCATTCTTCTTCTTATTATGCCTGGTAATTTTCGGACAGGTTTTCAATTACGTGGTGACGCCACGCCTGGCCCCTCCTTGAACAAGCATCCATGCAACAAAGTAGTTTTCATGTTCTTTGCCGTTATCCTTATATATCCCTTATAGATGCCTACATATTCCCCCTAAATGATCCCTACCCTGAACCCCAAACCCTAAACCCTACTCCGATAAAAAAACCCTACTCCATATAACATGTCTCCAAGCCATGCACCGTGCATCCCAGAAGCTTCCGTTTGCTGCAAAAGGGTCCTTTAAAACTTCAGATATGGGGGGGTTTCCCAAAACTCGGGGATACCTTTGTAAGGTCCCAGCAAGAAGGGCTACAGTATATTGGCGTCGATTATTCATGGAAACTACCATATGATGCGCGGTTTTTTTATCGGTCATAGGAGATATGTAAAGCATGGACATTGGATTCCTGACGCATGGTTTTTGATTGGAAAACGATAGCACACTCACCAA